GAGAGGATTAGAGTCCTCGCTCTGACCCGTCTGTTGGGGAAAACTAGATAGATAAGAGATATACAAACTGTCTAGGTATACACCCCCCGGTCGCAGTACTGCCGGGCCATAAGGGGGAGGGTTAGAGTCCTTGCTCCCACCCGTCTGTGCGGGGAAAATTGCACAGGTGACTATACCCTTGGTCGTAGCAGGATTGAGCCCAAAAGGCAGGGGGCTTAGCGTTCCCCCTCCTGCTCTGTCAGGCAGGGTTTTAGTGGGTACAGAGTAAGTCCCAGCACAGGCCTGGGCACAGAAACATTATAAAGATAAAGAAAATTCATAAAAAAATATGTTCAGGCGAAAAGAATCCCCTAAAAACAAAGCTCAAAAAGAGCAGAAAAAAGTACCAGGCGGCGCCGCTCTGAGTGTGATAGAATCGCTCATTGAAAGGTGACAGGGCCAGAAAGAGTTAATTACCTCCCAGACTGTCCTGACCCATGGCCGAACTTTAGAGACTGGTTAGGAAGATGTGTAAATGAATAGAGCTGTGAAATGCAGCCGGCATTGTTAGAGGTAGAAGGGGAGATGTTTGCTCAGGGCTTGTGATGTGAGCAAACAAGTCTTGTCTATTGCTATAGCTTTAATTCGAAGATCAAAAAGGAATATTAACATTTATGATGATACTTGAGGGAAATAGTATTATTGTCTCTATGTCTCTTTGAAGGTTGAGGTAACCTGTATCTGAACTGTTTAATGGATAAATTACCCTGTGCTAATTGCCAGGATGTTTGGGAGAAGGAAAGTTGAGCCTATTGTTTTCTCAGGCCAAAAGGCTGCTGGAAATGTATAAAAACCCTGGGACACGATCCTGCTTCATCTCAGATCTGCTTTGGGTTTCAAGAGGGGGAAACCTTAAGCCACAAGGATTGAGATCCACAGTCACTGACTGGAGTCACCCTGAATATGGACATTGGACTATAACCTCTGGACTATTTCTGAAAGGAGTTTTGGCAACTACAAGCTCATCTCTGCTATGTATCTGAACCTCAAGAATTGGATTCAAGTCTGTCTGTGTATTGATCTTTTAAGCAACACTCTCTCTCTTTTCTTTTATAATAAATTTTAGTTTACTTAATAAGAATTGGCTATAGCGTGTATTTTGGGCAAGATCTAAGTTATAATTGAACCTGGGTATGTGGCTGATCCTTTGGGGTTGGAAGAACCTTTTCTTTTATATGATGAGATCAGATTTTCAGTAATCATCATCATATCTGACAGGTGTGTCTGGACGGAGGCCTGAGGCTGGGCACTTTAAGGGAACTGCGTTGTTTGGACTTCTGAGTAACCAGTGAGGTAATACAGAAGCTGGGTTGGGCTGGTTGGTAAATCTAAGTATTGGAATATCCACCAGTGTTTGGGGTTTGTCTGCCCCGTTCTGTTTGCAGTTCACCCTGATTGAGTGACCTCAGCTGGCTCCCACGGGCAGCACCGTCTCACATGCATTAAGAAAATTTTGCAAAAGTTTGGGCAGAGCCCATGGACTGAACAAGCATTAGCCGATGTCCATATTATAGCTGATTTGGAAGATAGATCAGCAAAATATCTATTGGTCTACAGGCCATCGACCCTGATAAAAAGAGACTCTGCTGCAATTTAGCTTCTGTGGCCGCCTAGCAGCCCCAGATCCCTCCATGCTGATGGGGCAGCCTGGCATCCTGGAACCCAGCCACGCGGGCCCTGCGACCTTTAGCACACAGCTGGGCTGCAGCTGTGTGCTAATTGGTTGAGAACCACTGATCTAGACCATCTTTGTCTAACCTGCTCTTAAAAACCTCCAGTGACGGAGATTCCACGACCTCCCTGGGCAATTTATTCTAGTGCTTAACCACCCTGACAGTTAGGAGGTTTTTCCTAACGTCCAAGCTAAACCTCCCTTGCTGCAGTTTAAGCCCATTGCTTCTTGTCCTGTCCTCAGAGGTTAACGAGAACAATTTACCTCCCTCCTCCTTGTAAGAACCTTTTATGTACTTGAAAACTGTTCTCATGTCCCCTCTCAGTCTTCTCTGCTCCAGACCAAACAGACCCAGTTTTTTCAATCTTCCCCCATAAGTCATGTTTTCTAGATATTTCATCAGTTCTGTTGCTCTTCTCTGGACTTTCTCCAATTTCTCCACATCTTTCCTGAAATGTGGCGCCCAGAACTGGACACAATACTCCAGTTGAGGCCGTATCAGAGCAGGGTAGAGCGGAAGAATGACTTCTCATGTCCTGCTTATAACTGTAACAAAGTGGGTTTTCCCTGGTTATGCTGTATGTGAGTCTAACTGTTTTGCATGAATACTGTGTTTGCCTCAGTTTCCCTGTGTATTGCACCAATGCCTGAGTGGTGGGGATAAAGGTGTGTGACTTTTGCTGAGACCCTCGGGGCCACGTGAGGAGGCTCCAGCTGCCTGCACGTAAGGGATGGCAGATGCCCCTCGTTAACTGAGAAGCAGGAGGGGGATGCGACCAGGTGACCCTGAAAGGAGTCACGCTACGCAGACTCCTGGCTGGCTCCATTCAGAGCATCAGGCCTGTGACTGTCACAACAACACGCCTGCTAATACAGCTTATATTTAGCTTGTGATCCACTATGACCCCCAGATCCCTTTCCGCAGGACTCCTTCCTAGGCCGTCATTTCCCGCTTTGTACGTGTGCAACTGATGGTTCCTTCCTAAGGGGAGCACTTTGCATTTGTCCTTATTGAATTTCATCCTATTTACTTCAGACCATTTCTCCAGTTTGTCCAGATCATTTTGAATTTTAATCCTATCCTCCAAAGCACTTGTGTGATGAAACAGGGGGTTTTCTTGTTTTTTTCAATGGTTTGCATGCAGAGCGGGTGGGACTCAGTTTCCCTGGGTGTTACTGGTTAAATGAGGTGGTGGGAGAGGGAGTTTGTTGTTTCAGAGGGCCAGCCAATGGCCTGGAGGACGGATACCCCAGCGACTGGTGACCTGGTGACCGGGAGGTCCCAGCTCGGGAGTCACAGCCGATTCTGGCCAGTGGGAGGACAATGGGCTGTGGAGAGAGGACCCCGGTGACCTGACCAGCCGGTTCCAGCCAGAGGGGAACAAAGGACGGCTGAGAGAGGAAGAGAGGAGGCCCAGGCGACCTGTTTACCTGGAACAGAAGACAAAGGACAGAGGTGGGACTTGGGGGGCGGTGATAAAGGATGCCCCGCTGGAAGGGGGGAGTGACGTTATTGACATGAACAGGGACCGTATAGATCATTGATGCAACCAAGGTCCTGTAGTGGCACCAAATCTTGTATAAAGGGGGTCAAATAAGGTGCCTAAGACAAGGTTCTGGTTGGCTGGTTATGATTATGCTATCTGGGTGCATGGATCGGTTTTGTATTTAAAGTTACAAGGATTGGCTCTATCCTGTCTGTATTTCAAACTTGTGCTCTGCTTCTGCAGATAGACCTTGTGACTCAGCAAGGCAGGGACAGGCCTATGGACAGAACTCTGAGGTATTTCTATGCCATGTGCTGGGCAGCTTGTGTTTGGAACAAAGGAAGCACAGGCCACATGGCAAGAGACTATAAAAGGCTGCTGCATCTCCTCCAACTTGTCCTCAATCCTGCTTCTGACCTCTGGAGGGACTTTGCTACAAACTGAAGTTCTGAACAAAGGACTGAATGACCCATCCCAGCTGCGGATGTTCCAGAGACTTGATTTTGAACCTGCAGTTTATTTCATCACTGCTACAAGCCTGAACCAAGATCTTTGCCATGAGTGTATGTAATTGATTCCATGTAACCAATTTTAGCTCATCTAGATCTTTTTCCTTTTATGAATAAACCTCTAGATTTTAGATTCTAAGGGATTGGCAACAGCGTGATTTGTGGGTCAGATCTAATTTGTATATTGACCTGGATCTGGGGCTTGGTCCTTTGGGATCGGGAGAAACTTTTTTCTTTTACTGGGGTATTGGTTTTCATAACCATTCGTCCCCATAACGAGTGGCACTGGGGGTGGTGATACTGGGAAACTGGAGTGACTAAGGGAATTGCTTGTGTGACTTGTGGTTAGCCAGTGGGGTGAGACTGAAGTCCTCTCTGTCTCGCTGGTTTGGTGCCTTAGAAGTAAAGGAAACCTTTACTGTGACTGCCCTGCTCTAAGCAATTTGTCCTGAATTGATATTCTCAGAAGTGTCCCGCTAGAGGCAGCATCGTTACAGGGGGGCTCTGGGCTGGGGGGAGAGAGCAGGCAGAGCCCCCCCTGGATGCGGGACAGACCTAGGTGTGCTGTGCTGAGGGAGGCCAGGCCTGAGGCCTGGAGAGTTTCCCATACTGGGTTCAGATGCTCAATAAACCTTCCTGCTTTATGCTGGCTGAGAGTCACGCTGGTTTAGAGACTGGGGCGGGGGGGCATTGCTCCCTCTGGGGGTGGAGGCCCAGGGGGTCCAGAGCGAGGGGACTCCCTGAGGGGGTCCACGGCAGAGACAGGCGTGCTAAGGCTCAGAGAGGTGCGGTTCCAGGGGGTGGAGGGGCCGGACCCCGAGAGAGAGTGGACCCCCGAGAAGGGCTGTCGCACTGAAGGGGGTTCCCCCCACGGACCACACGGAGCTGAGAGAGCCCGAGTCCTGGGAGTCCGTGACAATTGTAAGTGGAGTCTCTGTGCCATGATCTAGGTCAGTGACGAGGATATTGAACAGAACCGGCCCCAGAACTGATCCTGCGGGATCCTTCTTCCCATTTCAAATTCCCAACAGCTCCTCCCTATTGTCCCAGTCCCAGGCAGAGCAGCCTCTCCTCAGGGGCCTTCTCCCCCCTGCAGCAGGAAGCTGCCTCCAGCGCAGGATATGGCCCCGCTGTGTTATTTCCCCAGCGGGGTCTGGGCAGCTGAATTCCGCCCCCGAGCCCTGGGCTTTGGAGGGGTTTGCTGGTTGTTTATGAAAAGCCCCCCCGCCCCTCCGCGCTGGGCTTCCCTTCTGGCCGTCTGGCAGTCCCTGCGGGCGGTGGGGGGGCACTCACCGCTTGATGGAGCTGTAGTACTGGTGGATGAAGTCCCGGGCCAGGGGCAGCAGCTCCTCCTTGGGTGGGGGCCCCTCATCTGCCTGGCAAACCATCTTCTTGGGGAACAAGAGGGAGCCCAGACACCGCTTCCCACTGCAGGGCAGCTCCTGGAGCACAGACAGACAGACAGAGCTGAGGCTGGGGACTATTGGAGTCACACCCAGTATGGACCCCAGCTCCGGTGCTGCAGGGCCCCCCTCCCCCCACCAGTACCCCGACCCACAGCCCGCTGCTAGCCCAGCCCTGGGATCCCCCCTCCACAGCCCTGCCGGTGCCCCTCAGTCCTGACCCACAGCCCCCTGCTAGCCCAGCCCTGGGATCCCCCCATCCTTCTTCCCAATGCCTGTGAGGAGTGGGGAAGTTTTGTAATATGTTTATGTCCACCAGGCACGGCTACACTTTGGGTGGAAACAGTTGCCTCGCCATCGCCCCACTCCTGAAAGGAGCAGCGAGGTGGGTCCTCCAGGCCTGCCTAGAGAGGCTGCACAGGAGCAGCCACTCAACAGGCTCAGCAAAAGGGAGGTGCAGGGTGGGAGCAGGTCAGTCCCTGGCAGGGAGTGGGACCAGGGGGCAGGGCAGGGCAGGAAGGGTCAGAGCAGGGTGGGACAAGGCAAGGAGGAGTGGGGCAGGACAGGTTAGTGCAAGGAGGGGAGCACCGACCCTGCGGATCCATGACAGCTGGTGCCAGCGGTGGGATGCTGACTCCACCAGGAGTCCTTTGCAGCAGTAAACCAAGGGTAGTCAAAGGAAACAGCAAGACAATGGCGTGCAACCCCCTCCCTACGGTCATCGCAATCCTGGGCAGGGAGACAGCCAAGGCGCAGCTGAAGGCATGGCTGGAGACAGATGGCTGGTCCAAGAAGCCGGTTCCAGACCCAGCGAGGTTCCAAGCGGGTCTGGAAGCAGCAGAGGCAGCAGCAGGGTGTCCACGAGACCTGGTTCCCTGTCCAGCAGGGGGTCTTCACGGCCAGGCTCCCCCTTGACAGTTTGAAGCGCTGGGAGTTGGAGCCGAGAGCAAAGCAGCTACTAGAGCATGAGAAGCAGCAACAACTGGAGCTGGAGAAGCCGAGGGGCAAGAGGCCCCACTAGGGGTATGTGGGGAAAGGCCCCAGTTTAACGGGGGGGGGCTACAGGTGCTGACCTCACTGCCTTTGGAAAGGCCTGGGATTTGAACCAGGCTGGCCTTGCAGACCGGCTCCGCTGTCTCACCCCCTCGTTCGGCCCCACGGCCATAGAGGCGGGGCGGGGGGTTCGCCTCCCCGAATGGGGGGTGCACATGCCGCCCAGGCAGAGAGGCGCCCAGCCAGACGGAGGCGGTGGAGACAGGGGACTATGACCTGTTCACAAAGGCTCCAGGCCCCGGAGGCTCATGGGAAACGGTTTTGGGGGTGCAGAAGACCCCGGTGTGACTACATAGAAGCCGGCAGCCTGCTGGGCGGATCTCTCTGCAGATGGGGTGCGGGGTTTGTACAGTGAGATCTGGCCCCACGGCTAGCGGACAGGAGCCCGAGGAGGCCGGCTGGCAGAGCAGTCTGGGGACAGTAGGTCCGGGGATGAGGAGAGACCCAGTGGGACTGGCCTAAGCATGGGTGCTGGGAAAGGGACCAGTGGGGCGCCCCAGAAGTGGGGGAGGGGCCGACGCGGCCAGACCCCCGCAGGCCCATGGAGAGCTGAGCTGGGAGGTTGGTGAGAACCAGCGCCGAAGTGGGCGCCAGGTCGGAGGGTCGATGAACCAGGGGCCCTGGGAAGAGTTAACCTGGTGAGTGCCCAGGACAGAGGGGCCCAGTCACACGCTGGCCAGCCCAGGCCGCGGCGTGTGAGGGATCGTGGGGGGAAAGCAGCCGGCAGCCAGCTCCTCGGGGCACAGGGGTGACAGACGGGCCCCCACTCCAGCCCCAGGGCCCAGGGCCGGTTGGACTCTCCTGAGCTCAGGCCCCGGGCAGTGGCATGGAGTGGTCAATGGGGAGACAGGCCTGGGGTGGGGAGATTCGGGGGCAGAGAGACCCCTTGCCACCCCCCGGCTGGGGCAGCCCCACCCGATGCTGAAGGGCTGTGACCTGGGTGAAGGGCCCAGACGTGGAGCACTTTGCCCTGCCCCCGGCTCAGACCCCTGGCAGCCCGGGGGCGGGGGCTGGTAGTTGGGGGTCGCCAGGACACCGGCTGGGACTGACTGAGTCACTTTGAGCCCAAGCTCAGCCCAGGGTTGGCCCCGCACCAGCCAGGGGCTCCGCCTGGGGGTGTCCCTGCAAACGCTCGGGGGGGGGCAGGGGGAGCTGTGCCAACGTCCCTGCTCGGGGGGGCCTAGGCCAGGGGGAGCAGAGGAAGGGCCCCCCCAGCGCCCCACGCAGACTGTCACATGGGCTCAGGCTGTGCCCGAGGCAGCCGGCGCCCGGCCTGCCCTCCCGGGGAGCAGGGGCAGAGCCCCCCGCCGAGCGTGGGCAGACCCGGTCAGGGCTTGGCCTGTCCCGGGGTGAGAGAGGCCCCGGGGGGGGGGGGGTCACTGCTGGGCACAGAGACCCCGGTCAGGGTGGCCACTGGCCAGGGCTGCAGCAGGTTCCGAATCCCAGCTCTCGAGGGCGGGGGGCAGAGAGACTCTGCCCTGGGGCGAGGGGAACAGGTGAACCCACAGGCCTGGGGGCCTGGCAGATGCACAGCCTGGGGTGGGACACGGCTCCAGCGGGGCCCCGGCCTCCCCAGCCCCTGGGGCACCAGAGCCTGGAGCTAGGGCTGGGTCAAGGACCCATGTCCTGGGGTCACTCCCTACCCCAGGCTCAGGCTCAGGACAGCCCAGGGGGCGGCCGGGACGGTGACCCACGGAGGCAGGCGGCTCACTGCCCCCCTCACAGCCTGGCAGGCGAGGGGGACGGGCCATGGCAGGACCCCAGCCCAGTGTCAAAGCCAAAGGTTTTGGGGTGACAACGGGCTGGGGGGGGCAGAGGAAACCTCCTCCTGCACCCCCTGCTGGTGCCATCGATCTGCCCAGAGCTCAGGGAGGACGTGACCCTGCTCTGAGCCGTGTGTGAGAATCGAGGCTGAATGACTAGCACCTGTGCCGGGAGAACCCTGGACGTGCCGGCTAGGACAGTGCCCAGGGGACGGGAACGATGCTGCGGCCTGGGGGGGTAACACTGGGGGGGGTCGAACTTCCCCAGGTCGCTGGTTAAAATGACCCTGCTCAGTCCTGCCTCGCCGGGGGAAGAGATGTGATGCAGTGGGAATATTTTTCTGAGTCCTGTTTGTGCCTCAGTTTCCCCATACGCTCCCTTGTTGCCTGGGGGGGGAGGGGAGGGGCCTGTCTGCTCTCAGGGCCGGCAGAGACACAGGCGCAGGTTCCCCTGGCTGGGCCTAGTCCCCATCTCAGTGAGACAACGGCAAATCCAATCGCCCGGACATGGACACCTGGCAACCCAGGGGGCTGAACACTCAGCCAAACATCTGTCAGCATCTAACCCCGGGCTTCCTGCTGAACTGACATCTGGGTCCTTCCCCACTTACCCCACAGCAAGTCCTCTTGGCCTGCCTCTCCTCCAAGTCCAGTTCCTGTTCTCACTGCTCCGAGCGGTCACCTAGCCTCCGCTCCTACAGCTCCAGCTCCTTCACTTTCAGCACCAGTTCCCATCTCTTCACATCCACTGGGGGGAACCCAGCTGGGAAGCGCCCCTCCTGGCTGGGGAACTGGGTCCCGGACCCCCTGCTGCTCCCCAGCTCTCCGGGCAGCCTGGGAGCCTGCTGGGATCTGGAACTTGCTCCTCGGACCAGCCGGGCAATCAGCTGCCCCGGGGTGACCGTCCCCACGCTCAGCCCTCTCCCCCTGCACAGACGTACCAGGTCCCTTTCCTTGCTGGTTCCTTCAGTCCCCTCGTTTTATCGCTGGCAGATAGGAAAAGATTCCGGGGTGTGCGCAAGACCCCAGGCGTCCCCGGCAAGGAGATCACCACCCTGCTGGAAGAATACCCCCGCCTGTGGGGAAAGGGTGCGGGGCCACTACCGCAGAGGGCGTGGATCATCTGCCGGGATTGGAGCAGCTGTTTAACGTCTGCCCCCCCAGACTTTGAGATGTGGTTAGTGGACCAGGTGCGCTGGCAAACGAGCTTATAAACAGCAGATCTGGGGTGGGGGGAGACCCAAGTCCGGGACTCAGAAGGGGAGTCACCCAGAGACCTCTCGGAGGTGGGACTCTAGGAAGCCCAATGTGGGGAGCCCATGAATGCTGGAGCAGGCAGCCCCTCCATGGGACCCGAGGGGTGGAGGGATGTAATTATTGTGGGCAAAAGGCACTAGGTGGTGCAGTGCCCAAAGATAAAGGAGATCTTGGCCAGAGAGAGCCCACAATACCGGCTCTCTCAGCTGTTTGTCTGTCCCTCAGCTCTGTCCCTTTGGAGAAAGTGGTCACCCAGGCAGGTCCTGGGGGCAGAGCTGGCCAGGGAGGAGTGGCAGACGGGCTTCCACCCCAAGCCCAGCAGATAGGTCTGCGTGTACCCCCTGGACTCAGCCCCTCTGATCCCCCGTGGGAGCGGCAGGAGGGGACCAGCTGGGAGATATTCATGGGGTGGAGACATTCTGGGACTGAGAACTCGGTGTGGTAGATGCTGAGGGACTGAGGGGGAGAGCTCCCAGATACACAGCCATTCGCCCTGTCCCCGCTCCGATCCCTGGGCGGAGGGGGGGGGGGGGGGGGGTGGAAGGGGGGCTGGTAGCTGGGGACTTGGGACAGGCTCCGGTAACGGCCAAAGAACGGACCCCAGAGACTGGAAGGCAGAGAGGGCTGGAGCTAGTGAACAGCTGAATGGCCCGGCCGGTGGGGAGGAGGGAATTTCCCCTGTGAAGTCCAGGTTACCTGCTTGTCTGTAGCCAGACCCCTGGGTGGACCTAGACCCAGTAGTGTGCAATGCATACCTAGCCCTGGGGGGGGAGGGGTGGTCAGGCCCCCGGTTAAGGTCCTGTAGCGAAGATACATCTGAAATGGGGGGCCCAGAGTGGTTGGGGTGCACGACCTGCGGAGGTGCGGATGGGGGATGGATTGGAGACCTGGCCAGACAGCGCCCTGGTCCTTGGCTGTGGCTGAAGGGAGGGGGGTGGTGCTTGGCCTGGCACCGGCAATGTGTGGAACCTCCAATGGGGGGAGGCGATTACCAGGAACCGTGCTTAACAGGGCTGGGAACGAGGCTTTGTCCTGAGGTGGGGAAACTGAGGCACAGCCAACGAGGGCTGGGCCCAAACCCAGCAGCTGAGCTCCAGACCGAGCAGCAGAAGAATCCCTCCTTGAAGAAGCTGAGGGCCCTTGTGGGCCCCAGTGTTGCAAGACCCTGGGGAAGAACTGCAGGGAAAGATCCCTGTAAGCAAAGGGATCTGGTACCGGGAAAACTGAACCTTGTGGGATCAGGGGGCAGCTGGTGGTTCCCCAGAAGTACCATGTCCCTCCCTGTAAACATCAGGGGGGCCAGTGGTGTATGGAAGGGAAGTGAGACTGGGAGGGGAAGACGAATGGGAATTGGGGGTGGAGTACGTCCCGGGGAAAGCTCACTGAGCCCATGGGCTTGGCCAGGAAGAAACGAGCCAGGGCCCAAGGGAAGCAGAGGGGCTGGCACGACAGCGTGCTGGCTCCTCTGGCACCAGGGACCAGGGGAGGGGTCTCGGCTCCATGCGAAGGGCGCCTGGGATGGGCCCTGTGAAATCATGAACCAGCAGAAGGAGGTGAGTCATGTCCTGGCGCAGCCCACTCGGGCGCATGTCCCATGTGGACACAAGAAGCCACACGTTGACAGGGAGCAGTGGGTGCTGGTTGTGTGTGGGCACGGGGAAGAGAAGGCCGGGGGGGTCCCCAGTGGGTCTCTTCCCTGAGACAGGAGCCAGCCTCCCGCTGGAATCAAGCCCCCTCTGCCCAGCCAACCCCTGCCCGCAGCTGCCCCCCAGCCAGCCTGGGCCCACTAGTCTAGCTGTCCACGGGGAAGGGGAGACAAAACACCCCCCCCCACCAGGTGTTCTCCATTCCCAGTCACCGGGAAACAGCCCAGGCCCGGGCGAGAGAGGTCAGAGACACGCTGGCTCTAGGGGAGGTCCAGCCACCCACCAGCCCTGGGCCTCTCCCGTGGGGCTGGTCCCCAAGGCCGGGTCCATCAGACTGTGTGTGGACTCTCGGAAGCGCAATGCCGTCACCGTGTCCGATGCCTGCCCCATGCCTCGGCCTGACAAGATCCTAAACAAGTGACCTCACTCCAGGGACCTCACCAAAGGCTACTGGCTGGTACCTTGGCACCCAGATGCTGGGTTGGAATCTGCTCCCATCACCCCATGGGGCTTTTGGGGTTCCTGGTCCTGCCTGTCAGCCTCAAGGGGGCACCTGCCACCTCCCAGCGCCTGGGGGATCAGTTCCTGAGGGGGGTGGAGGGGTGTGCCCGGGAGAGTGTCTTCAGGCCAGCCGGGGAGAACCGTGTCCCCCGGTGAGGAGGAGCTGGGACACCAGGATGCTGGACGACTATAGAGACTGGAAGGGGAAGGTGGGGATGGCAGAGGCGTCGTACCTGGGCCACAAGGCGGGAAACGTCCGTCTAAAGCCAGAGCCGGCCAAGGTGAGGGGGATCAGAGAGTGGCCCATTTCTCAAAGCAAGAAGCAGGCCCAGGTCTCTCATGGATGGCAGGTCTGTGTGAGAAGGGAGAGCCGGTCGGGGAAGTCTGGACCAGTGCCGGGCGCTCTGTGCACAGAAGGAGGCTGTAACCCAGGGGTAGACCCAGACTTGGAGAAGCTCAGACGCAGGGCTGGGCTGCACCAACTGACGGGGCTAATGCCCAGCCCTGCGATGGGGTCTGATCCCCCAGGGTTATGAGATGGACGTGATCCATGTTGATAAAAGTTCAAACGTTCTAGCCAACGCTTTGTCCCGGAGTGGGGGCACTGAACTTCCCCAGGCAACGGCTGGAGTGACCCCACTCAGTTCAGACTGGAGGGGGGATGAAGTGGGGGATTTTCTTAGTGTTTTGCATGAATACGGTGTGTGCCTCAGTTTCCCTGTGTGCTGCGTGTGTAACGAAGGGGTGGGGGTGGGCGTGGGGCTTGTTGGTGTGACCTCGCCCAGCAGTCGGGACCCCGGACAACAGCTGGGAGATGGGGGACCTAGCAACCAGCTTGGCAATCAGCCGGTTCTGGCCAGTGGGAGGACAATGGGCTGCAGAGTGAGGACCCAGTGACCTGACCAGCCGGTTCCAGCCAGAGGACAGAAGCGAGGAGAGGAGGCCCCAGTTTACGACCCTGTTTCCCTGGAGAGAAGACAATGGACAGAGGCGGGAGCCTGGGGCCGGGGATCTCAGATGCCCAGCTGGGAGCAGGGGGGCTCGGGGCTGGAGGGGGGGAGCAGGCAGAGCCCACCTGGATGCAGGGAGACTGGGATGTGCTGGGCTGAGGGAGGCCAGGCCTGAGGCCCGGAGAGTTTCCTGTGCTGTGTTCAACTCTCAATAAATCCTCCTGTGTTACGCTGGCTGAGAGTTGCTCCGGTCTAGAGAACAGGGGGCATTGTCCCCTTTGGGGGGTGGGGAGATGGGGGGGGGCATCGCTCCCTCTGGGAGGGATCGGGGGGTGTATTGCTCCGTCTGGGAGTGGGGAGATCGGGGGGGGTATTGCTGCCTCTGGGGGTGGGAGCACTGGGGGCCCACGGCAGAGCCAGGCTGCTGGAGGCTCAGAGGTGCAGGCCCAGGAGAACAAGGGGCTTAACCCCGAGAGAGAGTGGCCCCCCGAGAAGGGCTGTCGCCCTGACGGGGTTTCCCCCGGGGATCGTACGGAGCCGAGAGAGCCGAGTCCTGGGAGTCCGGGACAGGGCGGGCAGAGGACCCGCGAGGACATGGCGTGTCAGCCACTCCTGAGGGAGACGATTCCCGACTGTGCGCCCAGGGTCGGTGGAAGAGCTGGAGCAGGACAATGGGGTCGGGAACGAGGGGCCAGGCCCAGCGGGGCCCAGGCCAGGGGCAGCCTCCAGGCCAGCCGCCCGTCTCAGGAGCTGCAGGGGCTCTGGCTGGACGCACCCAGCTGAGCTCTGGTCAGGCCCCCGAGGTTTACAGCCCCCCGAGATGCAGGGAGCCAGAGGCTTGGACTCCCCCCAGCAGCCTGGCACCCAGCCGATTGGTGACAGCTCCTCAAGCCCACCTGCAGCCCCCTCCCACAGGCCTGGGTCCCATCCCCCACCCCACGTGCCCCACGGCGCCGCCCTCACCTGCGTGGCCTGGGCACTGAGCGTGTCGTAGGCGATGGTACCCACTTCCCAGTTCTTGATCCGTGAGTATCTTGGGGGCTCAATGGGGCGGACAGGCACAGAGCTGGGGGCAGTAGAGGGGGGGCACAGTCAGCAAGGGGACCCTGTGTGAGAGCATCACCCCCAGCAGCCCCCCCCCTGCCCCCCCCCCCCCCCCCCCCCAGCAGCCCCCCTCCTGCCCCCCCCAGCAGCGCCCCTCCTCCCCTCCCCAGCAGCGCCCCTCTTGCCCCGATCCTCCTGCCGCCCCAGCAGCTCCCGTCCTGTCCCCCCCAGCAGCACCCCTCCCCCCTCCCCAGCAGCACCCCTCCTGCCCCCCTCCTCCTGCCGCCCCAGCAGCTCCCCTCCTGCCCTTTAGCAGCGCTGCTCCTGCCCCCCCAGCAGCTCCCCTCCCTCTAGGGGGTCAGTGGGGGTGCTGTCGGGGAGGGACTCGGGGTCGCTGGAGGTTCTGTCTCTCAAACCCATCTCTCGGGGACCCTTTTCCGGTCTCCGTCACGCAGCGTCTGGTCATCTCCCCGCCGTCGGGTGTCTGCTCCCCAGGGGGCAGGGGTCAGGGCTGGGCCGTCACCCCCGGCCCAGGGTCCCGTGGGGAGCATGTGGCAGAGCAGGAACTGGAGCCCAGCCCCCCTGACTGCCAGCCCAGTGCCAGGGCCTGGGCGAACGGGGCTGTGGGCAGGGCAGGGCAGCTCACCCCGGTGTCCCCTCAGCCCTTACCTGGCCTTGGCGCAGCCGGCGCCGTCCTCGGGCACGGAGCCCCGTTGCCGGGAGCAGAGGCTGAGGGCACAGGTGTGGGCGGGCTCGTGCAGCACTCCCTGCAGGTTCCCCATCGCGCCTCGACTGAGCTCCGGGTCAACTGAGCTCCGGGCCGGGACCGGCAACAGTCACTTCCTCTGCAGGGGACGAACCGGGGACCTTTGAGTCACTCCCACGCCTCTGCCCGGCACACAATGGGGAGGGGTGGGCATGGAGCCAGGACTCCTGGGTTCTAGCCCCGCCCTGGGGGGCAGTGGGGGCTAGTGGTTAGAGCAGGAGGGTGTGGGGCATGGAGCCAGGACTCCTGGGTTCTAGCCCAGCCCTGGGAGCAGGGGGCTAGTGGTAAGAGTGGGGGTGGGGCAGCAGTCAGGACTCCTGGGTTCTCTCCCAGCTCTACACCTGATTTCTCATCTGTGCAGCAGATTAGCTGGTCCCTGGAGCAGGGCGCGTATCGGCGCCCGCCCTGCACTGCTCAGCGAGGCCGGGACACGCGGGCTGGGCTTCCTCCCCTCCTGCAGCCCTGCTGGCGTTGGCAGCTGATTTGGAGCCAGGTCGTCCCCCTGGGGCTGAGGTGTCAGGAAAGCCAGGGCCCCGCAGCCAGCGTGGGCCGGCTGAACGCTGCACGCACGCCCCAGGAAGGAACCAAGCCAGCAGCAGCCACACACCCTGTGTCCAGCCCCGAGCCCCCCTCAGCGCAGGGCAGTGCCGGCCCACGTCTGCAGATCCCACACTCCCCGTGTCCAGCCCCGAACCCCGGCAGCGCCAGCCCGTGTCTGCAGACCCCACACCCCCCCGTGTCCAGCCCCGAGCCCCCCCCCAGCGCAGGGCAGTGCCGGCCTGTGTCTGCAGGCCCCACACACCCTTGTGCCGAGCCCCAGCAGTGCCGGCCCATGTCTGCAGGTCCCCCCCCTGCCCCCGTGGCCAGCCCCGAGCCCCCACAGCTCAGGGCAGCGCCAGTCCATGTCTGCAGACCCCACATCCCTGTGCCCAGCCCCGAACCCTGGCAGTGCCGGCCCATATCTGCAGGCCCCCCTCCCCACCCCCCGTGTCCAGCCCCGAGCCCCCCCAGTGCAGGGCAGTGCAGGGCAGTGCCAGCCCATGGTCCCCACCCTGTGCCCAGCCTTGAGCCCCCGGCCCCAGCACAGGGCAGCGCCAGCTCATGTCTGTACACCCCACACACACCCTGCGCCCAGCTCCAAGCCCCTGGTCCCAGCACAGGGCAGCGCCAGCCCGTGTCTGCAGGCCCCACACAGCCCAAACCTGGGGCTGGGGCGACTGGCTTGAATCCCCAGGGGCTGCCTGGTGGCTGTAGGGCCTGGCCCTGAAGCCCGGAGGGGCTGCCTGAGACTGGTGGGGGGTTCCCAGCCACATGGTTGCTGCCCGGCTGCCCCTTCCACAGAGCCCTGCTGGGCTCTGCCAGGCACGAGTCTTAGAATCACAGAATGTCAGGGATGGAAGGGACCTCAGGAGGTATCTAGTCCAAGCCCCTGGTCAAAGCAGGACCAGTCCTCAATTGTCCAATCCCCATTGTCTTCTCTCCAGGAAAACAGGGTCCCCTGGGCCTCCTCTCCTCTCTTCTGTCCTGTGGCCCCTCTGGCTGGAACCGGCTGGTCAGGTCACTGGGGTCCTCTCTCCACAGCCCATTGTCCTCCCACTGGCCAGAACCGGCTGCGACTCCTGAGCTGGGCCTCCCGGTCGTCAGGTCACCAGTCGCTGAGGTGTCCATCCTCCAGGCCATCGGCTGGGGTCCCAAGTCCCCTCTCCGGTCCTCTGTACCAACAAACTCCCTCTCCCCTCACCTCATTAAACCAGTAACACCCAGGGACACTGAGTCCCACCCGCTCTGCATGCAAACCATTGGAAAACAAGGAAAAAACAAGAAAATCCCCCACTTCGTCACAGACACATTCTCCTTTAGCAGACACACAGCTCGGGATCTCATTTCCCTTGTCCCAGCACACAGGGCTGTACACAGACAACTGCTTGGAGACTGGGGTAGCTCCCTCCATAGGCAAGTCAATACCCCTGACAGACACAGGCACATTCCCTTCACGGTCACAATTCTCCACACAGGTAACAGGTAAGGGATAGGTATCAGAGGGGTAGCCGTGTTAGTCTGAATCTGTAAAAAGCAACAGAGGGTCCTGTGGCACCTTTGAGACTAACAGAAGTATTGGAGCATAAGCTTTCGTGGGTGAATGCCCACTTCATCAGACGCAAGGTAAGGGATAGGGACACTCATCTACCACTATCCTGGCCTTCCCAAACTGCTGACTAGACAAACCATCAGCTCACCAGGCTGCCTAGGCCCATCCAAACTTTCCCTGCCTTCCTCTCCCTTGTCCCAGCACACAGGGCTGGTTACAGACAAAGACTGGGAGAGTCGGGCAGCTTCCTTACCAGGTAAACTGCTGCTCTCCACACTACACTGAGCTACTCCCAGCAAATCACAGTCACCTTTTTCAGGTTCCCTTTTACAAGCTGTACCAGCCAACAATCCATCACCCATCAAAAATCCACCCTTTCCTTTCTCGGTTAGGGCTTTACTCTCACCGGCACGGTCGCTGCCCCCTCCCCGGCACGGTCGCTGCTCCCACCCTGGAACGGTCTCAGCCTCAGACTCTTCCTGACCTCGACCCCTCTGTCTCCCTGGTCATTTGCATTATTCTGGTTATAGATTGGTAGGTTTTAAAGCCAGAAGGGACCATTCTGACCATCCTGCATGACAAAGGACAGAGACAACTTCTGGTGATAACTTCTGGATGAGCTTTGCATCGGTCTTCACGGCTGAGGATGTGAGGGAGATTCCCAAACCTGAGCCATTCTTTTTAGGTGACAGATCTGAGGAACTGTCCCAGATTGAGGTGTCATTAGAGGTGGTTTTGAAACAAATTGACAAATTAAACAGCAATAAGTCACCAGGACCAGATGGGATTCACCCAAGAGTTCTGAAGGAACTCAAATGTGAAATTGCAGAACTACTAACTGTAGTCTGTAACCTATCATTTAAATCAGCTTCTGTACCAGATGACTGTAGGATAGCTAATGTGATGCCAATTTTTAAAAAGGCTCCAGAGGTGATCCCGGCAATTACAGGCCTGTAAGCCTGACTTCAGTACCGGGCAAACTGATTGAAACTATAGGAAAGGACAAAATTGTCAGACACATAGATGAATATAACTTATTGGGGAAGAGTCAACACAGCTTTTGTAAAGGGAAATCACGCCTCACCAATCTACTAGAACTCTTCGAAGGGGTCAACAAGCATGTGAACAAGGGGGATCCAGTGGATATAGTGTATTTAGATTTTCAGAAAGCCTTTGACAAGGTCCCTCACCAAAGGCTCTTAAGCAAAGTAAGCTGCCACAGGATAAGAGGGAAGGTCCTGTCATGGATTGGTAACTGGTTAAAAGTCAAGAAACAAAGGGTAGGAATAAATGGTAAATTTTCAGAGTGGAGAGAGGTAAATAGTGGTGTCCCCCAGGGGTCTGTACTAGGACCAGTGCTGCTCAAATGATCTGGAGTTAAAATGATGGAGTCTAAATTAGCTGTTACCACTCAAGAAAGAGATCTTGGCGTCATTGTGGATAGTTCTCTGAAAACATCCACTCAATGTGCAGCGGCAGTCAAAAAAGCGCACAGAATGTTGGGAATCATTAGGAAAGGGATAGATAATAAGACAGAAAATATCATATTGCCTCTATATAAATCCATGGTACGCCCACATCTTGAATACTGCGTGCAGATGTGGTCGCTCCATCTCAAAAAAGATATACTGGAATTGGAAAAGGTTCAGAAAAGGGCAACAAAAATGATTAGGGGTATACAACGTCTGCCATATGAGAAGAGATTAATAAAATTGGAACTGTTTACCTTAGAAATGAGACGACTAAGTGGGGGTATGATAGAGGTTTATAAAATCATGACTAGTGTGGAGACAGTAAATAAGGAAGTGTTGTTTACTCCTTCTCATAACACAAGAACTAGGGGTCACCAAATGAAATTAATAGGCAGCAGGTTTAAAACAAACAAAAGGAAGTATTTTTTTCGCACAAAGCAGTCAGCCTGTGGAACTCCTTGCCAGAGGATGTTGTGAAGGGCCAAGACTATAACAGGGTTCTGTGACATTATTGACATAAACTGTGATCGTATAGATCATTGTTGCAACCAAGGGCCTATAATTGCACCAAATCTTGTACAAAGGAGGTCCAGTAAGGTGTCTATGAAAAGGTTATGATTTGCTGGTTATGATTATGCTGGCTGTATGTGTGTATCATTTTTGTATTTGAAGTTATGAATATTGGCTCTGTACTTGTATCTCAGTGTGTTTGATGCTAAGTAGCACCAATGAAGCATTTGGTCAGCTTCTTGAGAAGGGACTATTCTCAGTAAGTGCCCAATCAAGAAACACTTAACGGACAATGGACCTTGGGAGACTCCAATCCACGTATGAGGAGCCTCCCTGGGAACGTTCAAGGTAGCATGTGAGCAATGGCTGCTCTACCTGCAAACTGAGTCATGCATGGACATGTGACTTGCCCGTGTGACTCCAAACTCCATCTTGCTGCTGTGATTTCCACAGTAAGAACAAAGGGGTCCTTCCACATGGCAGAGGAGATAAAAGGCCCTGGAAACCCCTCCATTTTGTCTTCAATCCTGCTTCTTACCTCTGGAGGGACTTTGCTACAAACTGAAG